AATTAGATGCCATTCTGCAAACTGAGAAGCAATAGTAATAGAGATGTTTCCTATTAATCATTACCACAAGTGATATTTCTTAATTTACTTTTGGTTTTCAAACTTTTTCTACTGCTGCTCAAAGAGTTTAGGATCTTTTTTCTTTATTTTGAGGGTAAACACTCACATGGGTTCCAGTTGTGTGTGTATATGTGTTTGAGCAGGTTTAGAGGCTCAGTGCAGAGAATTCCTTACTTTATATACTCTGTGCTCTTTGACCTTTGACCATTAGTCGTGGGGGCTGACCTGTGGCCAAACAGAAGAGGAAGGAGAACGGGGGAGGGATAGAGTGAGAGACAAAAAGAAGTTCAGGAAGCAAAAGAAATAGAGAAACTGTGTAAAGGAGAAAAGCAGATAAACAGAAAGTGGACAATTGAAGGAAAGGTATCCACGTGTTTGTGTGGGAAATAGACAGAATTAGATCTTTGATTCTATAACAGGAACCCACAATACTTCTTCCCAATCTCCCTCCGTTTTCCTTAATTATTGACTATACAATTCAAGGCATGGAATGCTTTGGTTACATTTTAGCAAGAAAAAGTGGTGGTAGATGTGTAGAGATGGATGTCTGACTACTCCAGGGCAGACACTGACTAGCTTCAGTTCACAACAAAGCACTACGTTTTTCTACAAGCTTCTAAATTGAAAGTGCATTCCTCAATTTCATCGTGTTGTACACATACACGGGATCGGTAAGATTTTGTAAATGTTTTTGAAAGAAGTCTCTTACGCTCACCATGCATGGATGCATTTATTTGATTAAAATATAGTAAAACATTATTATAATTCAAAACAACTTTTTTATATTTCAATATTTATTAAAGTGCAATTTATTCCTGTAATGGCAAAGCTGAATTTTCAGCATCATTACTCCAGTCTTCAGTGTCACATGATCCTTCTGAAATCATTCTAATATGCTGATTTGGTGCTCAAGACACATTTATTATTATTATCAATGCCAAAAACCTTTGTGCTTCTTAATATTTTAGTGGGAACTATTCTATTTAAGGAACAGCGTTTATTTGATGTGGATCTTGTAACATTTGTAACATTGTAATGTCTTTCCTTCACATTTAATCCTGCTGAATAAAAAGCATTCATTGATTTTTTTCAAAAATCTTTCTGATGCCACTCAGTTTAATTCAAAGTGACTGAGTTCATTCAGACAGTCTAACTAACAAATTATTAATTGTAAGTGTAACATGTTAGACACAAAGCTGTTGGTTTCCAACTGTATGAAGTCATGCTGGAAGCAGTAAAGTCAAGTAGTTTCTTACAAAATGGCAATGTTTAACTTGTATATACTTATTGCTATTACTGTTGCACTCACAAAGCATTTTATCAATGAACCTTGTAGCCTATTGTTATCTCAAACTAAGTTGTAGTATATAGTTAGCTATAGTAATAGATATGCTTCTGATAACAAGATGTTGTTTTTAAGCAGTCAAAGACATTTTTAAAAGACCAGTTTGCTGTTTTTGTTTACTAGCTAAGATCAGACAAAGGATGAGGTGGATTAGATTTAAATGTCTGTCTGTGTGTTCGTCAGGGTCACCCATCCCCCCCTTCATCTCCTCTCCCACCCTCTTTCCCTCCTCATCACTTCACTGAGCACTTGAATGAGACCGGCTCCAAAATCTGCCCGTTGAAATCTCACATGTGCAGCAAAACATTCATTAATAAATCACTGAATTTCTGAGAAACCCAGTAGCATTAAGGCAAACTAATCCAAATTCACAAAACATTTTCACTTGCCATGTGTGCACAAAACCTATTCTGAGCACATGCCTTGTTGAATTTGATATTGAAAGTGGAAAGATAATATATTTTAAGAAGCTAGAACAGCAAACCTTGCTGTGCTACAGTGTCCAAATTGGCCATATTTTATCGAGCTGACCTCTGCACTATACCATCAGCTGACTTAACTATTGCCTGGCAACCAAAACACATTAAACCCGCTTCCACCAATCAGAGAGTCCGAATGAATGCGGACCCAGCATGCATGACAGGTAGCAGCACTCAATAATGCTAATAAACCCCAATCACTAACTGAAGGAGAATAATTACTGTAGCTTTCTGTGTGTTTGGAAGATGAGCAACATTAAGCAGTTTAGAACTAAATCTACATTATATTCGATTTAGATGTGAAAAGGTGCATTTAAAAATGAATGACTAAAGAGGGCTCTTCTCAAATGACTATCACTGCCCATTTATTGATCCGTTCACTGCAGTATGGATCAGTCAGTGCTACAGCGTATAGAGATTGTCAACAGGGCTGCTGCATCAGTCACGTAAGACTACTAGAAACTGAGATACTTTGTGGAGAATTAATCTTAAAAAGAATGCATTATTACATCACATGCATTAAAAGTAGTGCACTTTTTTGCATGATTATTTTTTCTCTCTGTCATTTGGTCGTGTCTCTTCCAGAACAGCAACGCTACTCTTGGCTTGCAGGAGATTCTTGGTTTTGTTATGCATTTATTATTCCCAGTGATGATAGTTATTGCCCTCTCATTACTGTAATGAGATCCAGAAAAAAAAGTTTTCAAATGTATTTTTTTTCCTTCATATCATCACATTGTTTAGAGCATAATTATAAATATTTTTTTTAAATAATATTTTATTCACATGTTATGCTATGTCACTAGGACTTTAAAAAAATAAAATGTCATGAATTCATATGTATTCATATATATATATATATATATATATATATATTGGGAGAAAAAACAAATGAATATGAAAATAAATTATACATCAATATTCCAATGAAATATTAGATATTATTGTTAAAATGTTGATTGGAATTTTTTTTATATATATATATACTCTTAAAAAAACTTTGTTGGTTTAACTTAAAAAAAATAAGTAACCTGGTTGCCTTAAAATTTTAAGTTCAGTGAAATGGAAAAATTGAGTTAATACAATGAAGGAGATTAATTTAATCACTAGAAACTCAGAATATTATGTTATTTGAACTACATAAATTATCTAAGTTGATTTTATAAAAGAAAAAATGTTGTGATTACAAATCATGAATTTTTTTTTTACAGTGTATATATATATATATAATTTTCAATTTATGTGCAGTACTAGGCCCGAAGACTGTCTGTGTGTATTGGAGCAGGTTCTTAGAAACTCAATGTGGATTAGTTGAATTTGGGGTGCCATTGTTTGACAAAAGTGGGAGGAGGGAGTTAATTAGGATTGTTAATCCTTCTGTTATTACAACGATGTCTCAACCCTCATTTAAACTCACTCAGGCTCACACACCTTTGCAATTCATTGACAATGAAGCCCTAATGATGTTTCTGCAGTCTAGCCACGAGAACTTTACGTTCGCGTGTGCGTATAATCGGGTTGGGGGGCGGGGAGGGGGTCACAGGTAGGATTATGAATTTTCAGACAGCCTAAAGGGGATTTGCTTTGATACAGCTTGAATCACCTGGCCTGTTATGAGAGTGCTAGGAAGGAGATTAATGACCACTTAGGCACTTTGGCTCTCATGACGAACCAGGTGATTCAGCCTGTATCAAAGCAAACAGAAGAGATAACATCAGGAGGACGGCAGGCGTCCTGAATGCATTTGCACCACAACTCTCTCCGTCAGTAGAACATCCTTTTGACGATTCCATTGGGCAAGACCTCAAAATTACATTCACGTCGTTTCTTATGATGCTTGAAGCGTTAAGAAAAAAAGTTAAACAGAAATTTGGTGCCACAGCGCAACCCTCCCTAGTCTTGTGGTTACTGCAAGCCTTCACGCAGATGCACACATGCACGAACACGGTGTTACTGGAACTCCCACGCTGCGTAATCCACTCTCATCACAACTGCTGCGTCACCAAACGTCCGCTGGTTCTTCGAAAGCCTGAGCGCATGCTTCCCTCCACTCCCGTCCTCCACGTCTCTGCTGAAGGAAAATACAGGCAAATCCTGAGGATTATGAAGTCAAATTAAAGCAAATTAAATTGTGATCTCTTTAATTTTCACATTTCTGATTTTGTTATTCGCAGCTGCTGTTTTCTGATTAATGAATGGAAGACCGTACGCTTCTAACCTTTCGTCGTCGGTTTGGTTGCACTCGAAATAACCTTAGTCGCGCATTTCCATCTAGCAGGCTTTTGTAGGTCTGGCCAGCAGAGGTTGCAGTCTGTATGTTTATATACTTTGAAATATTGAAATCGGAGCATTTGTAGTGCTATTTTAAGCATGCACACGTGCTTTGCACAGTCTGTCATTCCTGCGCGTTTAAAACAGCTGCGATTTGACTAGCATTTGCGATGCAATGTAAGATCAGACAAATGTAAAATGGTGTTGCGTTCTCATATGGGCTAATTTTTTGGTTGGCGGAACGGAAGAAAACGAGTTTGTATGTTTCCGTGTGTCACTGGCTGGATCAAGAGGATCCAGAATATGTGTGTTTTTGTCTGTCAGTGACATTGTTCGTCTGCGTCATGGTACCAAAGACACGGCGTGCACATGCACGTGTGCAGTCCAGTCCAGTTGTTGCAGGCAGCCGAGACACAGATGGTCTTCAGTGATACCACATTCCAGAGCCATTGTTTAAGGCAGGCAAGCCGGGTCAGATAATTGACAGCCACAGCGCAAGAGAGAGAAACCCTTCCCCCCAGTCTGAAACGCACAGACGCACATGCACACGCATTGTTCACAGCACGCGCCCTCTTCTCTTCTTTATCCAGCACATCCCGCCCTCGCGCTCTCGCTCTCTCTCTATGTCTCTCGCTCATTCTCTCTCTCCCCCTGTCTGTTTCACCCTAGCAGCAGTGCTCATGCTCGCCTCCGATTGGCCGACAGCCGCTCTTTGTGAGCTATCGGTGGCGTGACGCCGCCTTGCGTGCGTTTGTTGAGTGTGTGTAGGTCGGAAAGGAGGCGGGGGGAGTATTCACATCACGTATTCTGTTAGCTTTTTCGTTTGGAGAGGGGGGGAAGGGGGGTAGAGGAAAAAGAAAGAGAGGGAGGAGGCTATAGTGCAGCAGTGATAGCGATCACACTGCCTTTTAAAAAAAAATGCTCTTCTGTGTATATGTGGTCGAGCCATGAATTGGAGGAAGTGAGAGAGAGAGAGAGAGAGAGGCAGGGAGGGCGAGAACGAAAGAGCGTACGAGAGCTAATGTAAAACAGGATTAAGAACACAAGATGGCTTCCTGAATGGACAGAGACCAGAAGAGAGAGGGAGAAGAAAAGAAAGATAAAGAAAGACAGACAGAAAGAGAACGAGAGAGAGGTGGGGGGACGCAGAGAGAATGCTCCGGGTCTTCTGATGGGGGATACCTCTCGACACCGAAGAGCAACACGCAAAGGCAGCGAGGCTGAGTAGGTAAATATTTATTAGCACAGGGAAAAAATGACGGACAGTAATGGCAGATGGGGGGGGGGGCTTCTGAACAGCAATGGTTTATAGTAAAGCTGGGGTCAGAAACAACTAGCTCACATGTCTTTTTATGTCATAATTGGAAGGGTTGTATAAATATAAAGGGCAGAATTTGATCATTTATTTAACATGTTCTGTTTTATGCATGTAAATGAGCCTTGTCATAAGTAAAACCTTTTTGACTCAAAACCTTTCTTTTCTCAATAATTATCATGGGTTATGAATGTTTGGATTATTATGATATGGTATTTTCATTGTCATTGATGGTTATTGATTGATCTCAATCTATTTTTTTCTCTCTTTCTTTTTACATGATTGTCCCGTAAGGTGGAATATATTGAAGACGTAAAAACCCAGTCCATAATCCCAAACCTGGCGAAAGAGGTGAGCTAAATAACCTTTGGCCAGCTGTCTCTCTGTATGTATCTTGTTACAGCACATGTCAACTATATTTGATAGTCCTCTAGTTCCCTGAGGTTTTCTTCAGCGCGTGGCTATGAATGAGAAACGGTAAAACAATATTTAGATGCAGTTGATGATTTGTGTTTTTTGCGTGACTCAACAGGCTCAATGCGTGCCCAGATGCAGCGTGACAGTGACAGCTGTGTTCAGGCATCCACCTGTGTGCTGCAGGTGTGAGTCAGTGTTTGTGGCCTCCATTTCAGATCCTAGTACTTATGCAAGGTCCATTTCGCAGTAGTGTACTGTAGTGTCTTCTTCGAGCCAGAATGGGGCGAGCGGACAATCTCGTGGACTAGGGCCCGGTTTAAAGAGACCCGGGCTCTGCGCTTATTGGAAGAGACGTAGGCGTGAGCTTCGCCTGGCAAAGAGGAGAGGAGGAGGAGGTGGCCTCTCTCTCTCTCTCTCTCTCTCTCTCTCTCTCTCTCTCTCTCTCTCACACTTTCTCTTTCTCGCTCAGTCTGTCAGTCTGTCTGTCTTCCTTTTTCTCTGCGCTCTGTGTCAAGCCTGGGAACAGAGAAAAGAGTGGCAGGCGGGACTGCCAAAGTTTCCAGTCATCTGAGGTAAAGGGAGTAGAAGTTAGTGGGTCACATGCGTGCACGCATGCGCGGTGACGGTGCTGGTATTTGTGTGTCCATGTGAGCGAGCACGTGGCGGAGTGTTTATGGACTTGAGTAACATGTCGCGTCAGAGGTAGAGAGACCCGGCGAGCTTGAGAGCTTTAGTGGCGAATTACTCGCAACAAATATGCTGAATTACACGTAGGAGTAATCGTGATTGGTGCAACTGCTGCAAAATCAAGCAGACAGTCTCGACAGCAGCGGCGCTCTGAATACACCATGGCAGGTTTAGCTACAGCTTCGGCCAGGATTCACTTTTCTTATAATCCATGCCAGTTCATTTCCAACTGGCTATTTTTGTGCTTCGCCGCTAAATCCTGTACACCTTCACACTCTCACAAAGAATTACATAACCTTACACAGACACGTTCGGTTAAAGTACAGCTAAATCTTGCTTGCCTAAAATTAGTATCAAATTTTGCCACTTACCAGTTGGCCAATATGACCTTCATCTGTCGTGCATTGTTTCGCTCGGCCACAAATTGCCAGTTTGCCGTGAGAAGATGGCTCGCATCACATGCTTATTTGCTCTCAAAATAATTTGAATTTGGATGACTTTGGATTTTCATTGTCAAGCTTTGTTAGGAATTTTGCTATGATGCGACACTTAGCATGCGGTGATGTTGAGTTGTATTGTTATATAATTACTCCAAGACTGCTTGAAGAGGTGTCATTTCTGTGTAGTGCTTCTTTCCTTTGGCTTGGTTTCCGATTGACGTAATGTAGGTTGTGAGGATAACCATAACATGAAAGTGCTCTAAAATTGACTTTAAAAGCTGACGCCATTCTACTGTAAGCGTTTGATCTGTCGGGTAAATGTACACCATCACCCCAGTTTATATTGGTTTAATAGGCTCCGAAAGTTGCATGGGAGGCAGTACCGCATAAAAGAGCCCATGGAAAGTCTGTAGTAATGGTTCATTTCGAGGTGTGTGGAATCCCCTGGTGTGACGGGAAAGGGTTAACAGTGACCTAGTTTTTGCGGCAACAGTGAGTGGCAGATGACATCACAGCTGTAATTATAGTTCAGACCCACCCATTAGGCTGCTCACGTGATGTGGTATTTGTGTGTATGTATATGTGAATGTGTGCTTGTGAGTGGAAATGGTTTGTGTGTGTGAGCGTTTAAAGGTAATGCGAAAGGCAGGAAGCCGCTTGTTTTCATTTCATCGCACTCCAGAAATTACGGGCACATTGTAATTCACCCTGGTATAGACTGGTTGTGTTCTACAGATACCACAATGAGTTAACGGTAACGGAAGTTCACTTTTGAGAAAACAGGATGTTAAAAATGATGGCTGTAAACAATTTTAATTAGCTAATGCGCTGGTGTCTCTCACCACATGACCATTTCCTGAAGAAAAAACCCCACATGCACAAGCTATAGTTTGAGCTTAGTTTACGTAACATCATTAGGTCTGTTTTTTTTCCCTGTCTATTCACCCAACCAAACATTCCAAAGTCCAACAAGTGACCTAAAAAGGCTTTTCTAGCTAAATATACCACCATCTTAGTAGCATGCACTAGGACTAGGCATGTTTCATTTCACTAAATTGATTCTTAACAACCTTTTGTTCATCTTTACTTTTGAATTGTTTTGTTGTATCTATTCTTAGCTGTGCAAAATGTTTTTGTTGCATTAAACAATTTCCAAAAACGATTAAATTCTTACCTTTTTAATTTTTTTGATATTTTTGGTTTATAACTGGGTCATTCCTGCTATGAAATACCTATATATAATATATATAATAATATATGTATTAATTCTGTAACTTAAAAAAATATATATATATTGTCTATTATATTATAAAATATATATTTTTTTAGATTCAAGATGAGTGGCGTGCTCAATTCCTTTTTAAAAAAGTTCAACCTGGGTGCTCTTCGGTCCAAGGTAGGACATCAAGGAAACAGTAGAGAAAAAAATCTCTGATGACCGAGGCACTCCTTCATATATTTTTTTTATTTTGTCTACAATAATCCATAATAAGCACAGCATGTTTCTTATAGTTTAAACTTGACAACTATGTTATGTAACTATGCATAATTTTAGCATGTTATTGAATATGGCATGATAATGTGCTTGGTCTTGGTGACCAAAAACATCAAGATCTGCACCCAGATCTGCCACGCTTCTGCTGTTGATTATTGCTGCTGCTGGAGAGCGAGTTGTTACTACTGGTAACAGATTAACAGACATGCTGCTGTGAGCTTGTAATATATGCTGCTGCTGCATAAATAGACATGCAACAATTATCTTTATTTGTTTGTTTTCTGAGAGGTGTACCTTCCTAAATCTTTCCTGAAAACCACCCAGACCCTTAACTTGAATTAGTTGACTTTATTCGCAAATCGCGTGGAAACCCATTGCAATTTACCACTTTAGTTTTTACACAAGCTGAAACTAAACATGTTGAGTTGTATTAACATATAATCTTAAGTGGGTGCAGTAGATGAATCAAGTTTACATCAGTAGTTTTTACTGAAAATCATTAATTCACTTTCTAAGAATATTTACCCAGCATCCAGCAACATGAAGCTTTTCATTTGGGTGTCACCATTGTTGGGATTCATATGCTGATTGTTGATGTCTGTGTGACAAAATAACATGGCTTTTTAAATAAAATTCTGCATAATGTTTTTGCAATTGTTCAACTTATAACAATTCTGTATGATTTCCTGCTGTAAAAACCTGCTGACTTTCTTATCAATCATATGGAAGGCCCAGACAATAAGAGATTCAACTCTAGATGAAATTAAGTGCTAATGACTTATAGGGCCTATCTTGCCCCTGGCGCAAATGGCTTTGTACACTGACGCATGTATCATGTATCATTCCTATTTTGCACCTGGGCAAATCGGGCTTTTCCCCTCCACAGACGCACGTGGGTAAACTAGGAAATGAACTTGCGCTCCCTGGGTGGATCGGCGCAAAAAGGAGGCGTGTTTCGACGCAAACATTTGTCATAATAATAACATTCGTTATGCAACATGCGGACCTGCTCTTAAAGGGAATGTGATATGACGCTCTGATTGGTTTATTTCACGTTATGCCCAAACCACACCTATAAATAATAAAGCTATTTCAGATCAACCCCTTTTAAACTTGCGTCGGGTGCAAGAGTCATTTATCCCGCCGGTAAAATAGCAACAGCACCCAAGACCCGCCCACAAAGTTACTTGCGCTACGCGCTTGATACTTGCGTTTCAAATCGTTAAAATAGGGCCCATAATCTTTATTGATGACACCATCAATATGCAGTTGCAGTCATTCCTGGATCACTTTACTCTTGGCTTTTTTTTTTGCTATAACAATTGTGCCTTTTAAATACACAGTTAAAGCAGCCAGAGAAAAATTAATGTTTAAATGTCAAGGGCAAGAGCCCAACTAAAGCCAACACTTATCACCATTGTGGTGACTAGAAATGAAACAATAATTCAATAATTCCTCCCTCTCACATCTAAACCTCTGTTAACTCTCAATACCGTCTTCTGCCAAGGCCTGCGCTCGTCCCGCCAGGGGTAGGACACACGTTAAACGCAGGTCTTTTCACGTGAATTAGCCCCCCTAACCCTTCCTTATGAAACTAAACATACCAAGTAATCTCTGCTAAACCTGATTAGTGCAATGAATCTTTTTCAGCTAAATAGTACAAACAACTAATGTTGCTTGATAGGATGTTTTTACAAAACATAAAAGAATAAGTTTATTTAGAAACAAAATATGTGTTTACAGTGCATACATTTTTCAGCTCATTTCTTGAAAACTGGTGATTCAGACAGGTGTAGCTCCAATCCATTATTTTTTTTTGTCCGATTCCAACATATCATATTCATTTTTAAGTTTTTTTTTTTTTTTAATGAGAATAAATATAACAAGAACATTTTTGAAAATTTCCTCACTGTGATTAATTTTGCCAGCACGGGTCACAAATGACATTTAAACTTTGAACAAGCAATCTCATTGGCTGCAGGATCAATAGAGGCCAGTCAGCTTGTGCTATGCAGTCATGTGATTGCTTGCAGATTGCATGTAAAATCAGCCTGCACCCTATAAACTTTCATGACTGAACTACTAATTGTCTCTACAAATTTATCTGGAATACAAACACTTTTTTAACTTCCAAAAAATGACACCTCATCAAACCATGCTTCCTGTTTTGCATTTTTAAATGTCAAGTGTGTGTGTGTGTGTGTATACACTGTTTTGACCTAGATAATGAGGACCCAAAGTCCTTATATTGTGGTGTGTATTCAGGATCCTGGCCAAGCCCCTATATTACGAGGAAATGCCAGTGTCCTTGT